AGTGGATCGCAAGATATCGTCGAAAAACATAAGTGCGCCACAATACCCCCCGCGCCATAATACCCATGGTTCCCTTACATCATGAATGAAATGTTAATTCCAATATCGACACCATCTCAATTCAAAACTATTTCAAATCGGGTTTACTCAATTTATAACGCATTTAATGTATATCGACATAATGCATGCTAAGCTGAATGCCTAGCGAATTTTACGATTGAACAAATTAATTGATGATACGTATAAAAATAATGGGAAATATTTGTCTTATTAAGTCATTAAAGATTAAATAATTCTGAAACAAAGAATCAAATTATGAGTTATTATTAATAGTAATTTTCAAAAATTGACAAAACTTTTTAATTCTTCAGGTCTATGTATATGACTTAAATCAGAATAATTATTCACGCACTATATATTTTGTTAGAAATTTATCGCTTGTGACTAATTCATTCAACTTTACGAAATATATAAAAATCAAATGATATAGTGCATATAGTGCATATAGGGTCAAGGCTGGTATCACATTAGTTTGTCATAAGGAAATCAACAAATACAAGGTTCATATAATCTAATACTATATCGATATATATATCGATATACAATTTAAACTTTAAATATCGATACGTAGCAAACCAGTGTTACGTACAATGTACTATAAAACTTAACAAGAAAAGTTTATCGGTAAAAACGAGTAAACTAGAGAATTTAAATATAAAGATCTATATTTGAGTGCAAGAAGCTTCTCTATAAATTCCCATCACCAAAACCAGTTTGATACGGTGTACAATGAAAATTGTAAAAAATGCTGTAAAAATGATAACACATGGAGATATAGGAAGGAGAGATGAGAGATACAAGGAAGAAGACAAGATTTGTTATACGATAAAGTCCGGAAATATATCCATTGAAATCACGCCTGTGGAACTTTCAGATCCTTAGCGTTAACTACTATATATTAATACCATTTATATCGATGCCTTTAATAGTTGGTGTCGAATTTTTAAAAATAATCATCTCTACGTCGACGTATTTTAAATGAGGATTCTCTTGTAGACGATAGTAAACTGATTGAGGATGACTGATTTGTTAAGATGCATTTTTAATGAGGAGCCGGCTATATTATTTGAACCTAGTGTTTCAAGTCGACATTGCATTAGTCGACTTAGTCGGCTTAGCCCAGCCCAATTAACCAATTTTTTTAGAAATTCGGTTATGCAAGATAAAAATAAGAATTAATGTTTTATCTCAGTGTAGGCAAGAATGAGAAAGAGAGGGTAGACAAGAAAACAAACGCTAATTTCTTTTGTTGAGTTTTTTTACTGAGATTTTTATTTTATTTTATTTTTTTTTTAGGTCTTCGAGTTCTTCCATTCGTCAGAAAATCGCTGGGTATTTAGATTGGAGAAGCTTGTTGACAGTAGAAGAACTGGGTTTGATGCTTTTGCGCTCGTTAATTTTGCATGGATTTGCCAATTTATATGAACAAACCGAATGAGCATCTTTATTCGCATCTGTTTATTTTTATTCATTCGTCTTTACTAAGTTATTTTATTTCGGTCAAGTTGAAAAGTGGATAGAAACATACCACCGTCATTATAGCGTAACGGAGAATACTGACTTTTTTTTTTTTTTTTTACTTTGTAAACATTACGCAGCGTTTTCTTTTTTCACCTTGGAAACATTATACAAGGTGCTTTATCTTTTTATCTATTTATTTATTATTTTTTTTTTTATTATAAAATAAAATAAAATACTATCGTGACCAACAGGAGTTTCCGGATTATAGTTTATTATTTAAGATAATAAATGACTAAGCCGGCTTAGCCGTATCAACATTATCGACTCTACTAAGCTTAAAAGTTTTTAATCGATTACAATCACTACTTGCACCATCCTTAATGCGCTTTTTCTCTTTACGACGTTTATGTTTTTGTATGAGTCTTTGCACCTCCAATGAAGCCGATTCTTTATTAGAAATTTTGCTCGTATCTGAAAGTTTATTCTTTATGGTTCGTTTCTTTGGTTTTGATTCTGGTACTTTTAAGTGACTTTTTACTGGATCTTTAATGGAATCTTCATCTATACTCATATCATAGTCGCTGCTTGTAGTTTGTTTATCCTCCAGCTTGATAGCTTTTTTGCTTTTTGTTTTTGTTGAAGAATTAACATTCTTACGTGTTTTCGACTTAATAGTCTTACTAGTTTGATTATTTATAATCTCTGCCGGTGGCGAAACACCGGCACCGAATAGGCCTGGTGCGGTTCCTAGTCTTGTTATCGCATAAAATTTTGGATCTGGCCTTTTTTCATTTGCCAAATGATTTAAGAAATTCGCAGTTTCAGCGACAATTAAATTCTCTAAAGCACTTTCGTCTTCCATATAACTGTTACATTCTGATATGCTTGTTTGAACGTTAGTTGCTTTTGGAGGATTTACTAGGTATGGAAAATATACTATATTGTTCTCTTTATTTAAAGGAACTTCGAAACTGAGAGAATTTTTAATTTCCTCCGGTGCGTCCGGTTGTGTTTCAATTTCAAAACCATTTTGTAAAATGTTTCTAAGTGACATGCCAAAATTTGGGAGAAATTACACTAAATGAATTAATTTATATACTGTAAGATCAGTGGCTTAGCTGAAAATTCACGTGTTCCTTTAAATTGTAATCAAAAATATTAATTTTAAATCACTTCTATAGGTTCACTTTAGCAACTTTGTCTTTATTATATCGAAAGTATCCCTCTTTACAATTATGAAGATATATACGTATTTATAGAATTTTATAATCATGTAATTATAGAGCATATACCAGATATATATACGTAAGCTTAAGCTAAATGCGTACAAATCATTGGTAAACTTACAAATACATACAATATCAATAGCGCGTATAAATCAGATATTAGATATATAAAATTTTGAATACACATTATATTTAAATATACTTTAAGTTTGACAAATTAGAATTAATAATTGACCTCTACTGACTGGATTGACTATTGGATGGCATTGGTCAAAGCACTATTGCTACTACGTATATACGTATTACAGTATTAATGTTTAATTTTATATCGATAATACGACAGTAGTACAAGCATTTAATCATGTGGTTTATTAATTGACCAATAATATTATTTAACACAATTTATAAATGCAGAATTAATCAAGCTTTTATTTAACCGGAATGTCGTCTTCCAAAAGTACCCTATCAGATCTTGAATCAAAGCTTCAAGTGCTTAAAACGACGCTGAACGTTCATATATTCTTACTTCTTTTATGTTAACTCCTTCATCGCCTTTTCTAAAATAAAATTTTTGTTAGGCGGTATATAGTCATGCTGATACTATGCTTGAAATTAGAATGAAACAAGGACAGCGAGCGTAAACTATTTACTCTTTCCCTTTGTTACCTGAAATTGATATGAGCTATTTTATAGTGCTTGAGTGTATCTCTTTTTCGTCAGCCAAAATAGACAATCTACAACACTTGCGCCGTCAAAGGAAGAATCAGAACATTTGCAAAATTTAAGAACTCAATTCAATGAGATATGCGATGAACTGTACATGAATTTGGTAGATATCAAACATTTTTAACAATTGAACAAATTCAAAAAGCGATATGAAAAAAATTTTTTTACATATAAATCAATATATATATATTTTTTTTTTTTTAGCAAATTTCAAAAGAAGTTCTCGAAAGAGAATATGGGCAACAGAATTCCTAAAGTTTTTACAGCAATTTTGGGCTCGCAATAAAATAAACCTATTTACTTTCGTTTTAATTAACAAACTTCATTTGATCACGACTAAATTATGTAAAACAAATTATTATAATAAAAATTTTGGCTAACTAATTTTTATTAGTAATTATGTAATAATTTTCATAAAAGATTTTTACTACGTACAAATAACTGGTGGTGATCGTCACCGCCTCTTAAGGTTAGGGTGCAGTTTTAGGGTAAGATAGGGTTAGATATGATGGTCCAAATTTTAGTTAGGTTTAGGTTTTTGGAGGTTCTGAATATTTTTACTTAGTACGTACCTCAGACGTGAAAATATACTTACGTATAAAAAATTGTACGTAATAGATTTTATAGTCAGTGTTGGCACGACAAATTTTGAATAAAAGAACAAATCTGAATTACTCAAAATTTTATTAAGATAACCTATTTTAATCTTTTTTAGAACTATAAAATATATAATCATATCTTTTTTAAACTAATTTATTAAATTTTAAAGCCTAAATATTCTTTGGACAATTGTGGACACTGTGGACGTTTGGACGTGGACATGGGCAAAAGAAAATCTTGGACATAGTAGTCATGACATGACAGCACTGCGCCGTATATTGTCTACGTAGTGCAAAGTGCAAAAATGCAAAAATTTTAATTATACGTATCAGAAATGATCGTATTTAGGTGGAGCTGATTGGTTGATTATTTCATAACATGTAATTACGATTTTATTGGCATGATAAAACGAATAACTTCTTTACAATTTCTATTACTGATCATAAAAAATGGACAAAATTTTTCCTAAAGATACCATTAAGGTTTTATTACTGTTTTCATGAAATTGTATCATTTTACTATTTTCTGACAAATCTTTCAATTTTCGATCTTTACCTAGAATACGGCTGATTCGATCGGAATCACAAATCTTAAAGACAACGCAGCGGCTGCCTTAGCCCTTGATGCCGAGTATAGAATTCACGAAATTATACAGGTAGAGAAAGTGTTTCAATAGCTGGAAATGTAATCAAAGTGCTGGTTGATTTACTACAATACTAATTTCCGTACAGGAAGCCAATAAGTTTATGCGTCACTCGAAACGTACAAAACTTACTGGAGAGGACATAAATAATGCTCTTCGCGTTGTTAATGTAGATGTAAGTTCGATCATTTAATGTTATTTCAATTAAAATTATCAATATATTGCTTGGTACTATAACTTATCACTCAAATCTTCCTATATATAGCCGCTATACGGATTTACTTTAAATGATAATTTCAAATTTCAACGCACTCTAGCAGGTCAACAAGAATTGTTATTTATGGATGATGATGAGTATGAATTTGAAAACCTTATTACCTCTCCTATGCCAAAATTACCCGCGGAAGTCACGTATACTGGTAGGCTTTTCTGTTTGATTTTTCGAACTTTAATTAATTATAGGTATATAATATATATTCTTCTTCAAATTTGCATATAAAGCCCACTGGCTTGCTGTAGAAGGTGTCCAGCCAGCAATACCTCATAATCCTCCCCCACCTATTGAAGGTATGGATTATATATCTGTCAATAATACAATTTGTTGTTGGTGTGTGCTTATATTTTTTTTCATATTAGATACTATACCAGAAAGTAGTCGTAAAAAGGCTCCTTCAAATGCCATTGTTCAAGTTCCTAATGGTGTGGTGACTGGCACACCTGATATTGAACTTAAACCTTTAGTTCAACATGTAATCTCTCAAGAATTGAAGGTGTTTTATGATAAGGTCACAAAGACCATAAAAGGGGGTGATAGTAAAATGAAAGTATCTGTTCTCTATAGTCTTCAACATGATACCGGGTTAGCACAGCTACTTCCATATTTTGTACGATTTATTTGTGAACAGGTAAGTTTTTTGGATATAGTTTGTTGTGGGTTGTTCCATTCAATAATCATACTTTTATCGTTATAGATTGGACAAAATATTAAAAAAAATACTGTATTAGAGTCAATATTGGAAATGACTGATGCATTAATAAATAATACTAGTCTTCGCCTAGAACCTTATGTAAGTATTACACATTGATTTATATATTAACAAGGAAACACATTGATTTATATATTAACAAGGAAACTAATTGCCATTTTATGTTTTCCACGTTTATGGTAGTTACATCACATGGTTCCTGCAATACTAACCTGTGTGGTAAGGAAGAAATTTGGTCTCGATCCTGAATATCATTGGAGAATACGCGATTCAGCCGCGCGCGTACTTGCCAAAATATGTGATCGATTTGGATTGGAATATAATACTTTACAACCAAGAGTTATTAAGACGTTATTGTCCGCTTTAATTGATCAAACAAAAACTCTAAGTACACATTATGGTTGTATAGTGGCACTGGGTGCATTGGGACGTGAAGTTATAAAGACCATCTTGGTACCAAATCTTAAAACATATTCAGAAATATTAGAACAGCGTAAAAAACTTGATAAAAATAAAGCAGAACGTTGTGAAAATGCTATTATGGTAAGTTTCACATTATATTTGTATTATCCAATTAAATGAACCTGTTTCTAACTATATAATTGTATAGGATATACTACCAAAATTAAAAGGAAGTAGTATTCCAATGGACGAATCACAGATGTCAGATGAGGAATTGCAACAAAAATTAGAAGACAAAATTGGAGCTCAATTTGCGAAGCAAGTAATGGATAAAATTGAGGATAAAGAAGTTATAATGGCTATACTTAATTGTTAGAGTTATTTAATTAGATTAGATGTACATGCATATAAGCAATTATAAACAATATGTGAATAGTGTAAATAAAATTTAAATTTTTAATTTGATTACTTAGCAAGCTATATATTATTAATCATAGGGAAAATCAATAAAGATATTTTCTTGCGAATCAATTGCCTAGGTGGCTTGATTACTTTTTCAAGAGGCTGACATTAGAGGTTGGAACGGTTATTAAAGTTTTTTTCTGATCACTTCAAATTCTAGTTAAATTATCTTTAATATTAAATCGGTTTTGTAATATTTTAATTTGATTATAAAACTCAGATAAACCGGTTTTAAAGTTAAGAACCGATTTAATTTCTTGGTATACCATAATTGGCATTGTTTAGAATAGTGCAAAACCAAAATTTAAAAAATCACTCATGCCAAAACTGAAAGTAAAAAAAATAGAGTGTTAAAAGTTCAGTCCGGCACAAAAAGTCGAGTTTTTGGTCTCACATTTGCATATGTACTTCATAATTAAAATTAAGATAGGCAAAGTCGCGCCAATCAAAATCAAATCAGATCTTAGATATGACCATTTGGACTCGGTTCCTTTTAGGACTTTTAAGACTCCTTTCGTACAATTTCAGTCACGTTGTTTATTGTCCGGGGTGGCGGACTTTACGACCTGTCGCTGTATTATTATCAAAATCGGAATTAAATATTTTATCGGGTGCTATATCAACGAGAATAATACAGTAGTGTATTATTGACGTGTAAAAAGATAAAAAACGCGTGAGGATAAATTAAGGCATCGGAACTAACAGTTTCCTGTTTTCTAGTTAGTTTTCTGAGACAGGTTTAAACACGTTTTTGTTGTATTTTTGCATTTTTTTCAATTTTCTTTGCTTTTGCGTACATTTTCCAATTTTCTTTTTGGGTTTATACACAGTGGTAATATCGAAATCTCACTATACATCTGGGATATAATAAATTATAAAAACTTCCGCTATATCAAGAAATCAAATTTTTATTCTGGTATTACTATATACTATGTATAGAATTCATATTTGCCAGGTTTTATAATAAAATCCGGTTTATCAATCAAGTATATAGTTTTATACTAACATATAGCGATAGCGGTTTTAAACCAAAATTTATTCTAAATTATATTGTAAGATTACTAATAATCTCCGATATATCGAAATCAGCTTTACTAAATTACACTACTAATGTTTAAGGGTAGAGGATATGTAGATTATTCTTGTTAATAAACTAGTTGCTAAAAATGTTTAGATTCACAAGATTTTATTGAAATTTTAAGTACTAACTATTGCTATTAAATACAAATCAATTAAAAACAAAAATAATTCAAATGTTTAAAACAAGTCTATATTTTTAAGTTAAATACCACGGCTGGTGCTAAGTCCAACACGTCTAATTGTTGGCTAATTATACAAATATACAAATTCACAAATTTTATTTATTAATATACAAGATTCTACTATTTTTATATATATACTATTCTATTTAATCTTTTACACAATATAGTTTGAAAAAAATTTTGATTGCCGCAAAAATTAATAATTTGGTAATGATTTTTTTGTTTTTAATCTTGTTTGTAAATAGCCAAGTATAGATAAGCTTGAGTGCAATTTGATGTTTGATATAGTTGTAGGTTTTCTTCTTGTCAATGTTAGAAAATCCTATTTTTTAAAAAAAAATAAAAATAAAAATAAAAAATGAATAATTCCGTTATTGAAAAATCGAGCAAGAACGTTCACAATAACTGTGGCCACGAAGAAGCTTCTGGTTACTCAATTTTATGTATCGCATTTCACCACCAATCACCCGACCATATTAAGGAGTAATTACCTTAACCAATTAGTTCCGCGACCACTGACCAAAATAATAAACCAAAGTTATCTCTAAACTATAGGATGAAAAAATGAACATTTGCAACAGGCGTCCACTTTAGAATCCTAATAGCAACTTCATAAGTTGCGACCCCGATGGGTTTTCAAATTTCTTCAACCTACAGCTAAAGTCGCAAAACGAATACATACAATTCAGCAACTATCCAGTACAATATATTACTTTTATATTCACATTATCTTCTATGGGTATTTTTTGAGCAACATAAAAACTATTTACAAAAATTTAAACAGTGTAAAATGCGAAAAGTGCAAAGCGCGAAAAATACCAAAAGTATGAGGTGTAAAAAAATACAAAGTACAAAAAGTGCAGTATCTATTTTCTATTGAAAAATATAACTACCTTGCCTCTTTTACGTACGCCATCCGCTTTGGCATAAGTGAAAAAAGCATCCTTTATTCACCGCATTAGGAAATAATAGTGAAGTTGGAAACGTTGGAAACGTCGAAAAGGTGAAAAAGTTAGAGATTTTGCGCAAATCAATTGTAAACAATATATATAATTGGCTATGTCAAAAGTGTGAAGCGTGAGAAAAAAATAGTTCTATATGTGTACAAAAATAATGTAATTAGTGTAACAAAACAATTGATTGGTAGATCTATTCGTGATTTCCTGTAATAATTAACCAATCAAATTACATAATTTTTAGTACTGTATATAACCCGTCACGAAAAATCGAACCCTTCCAATTCAAATGCTTAGGTTGGAGTATCTCAAGTATTATACATAAATCCGATATAAGAAAGTAATATATAAAATTTTAATGCTGACCACTTTTAATTAGAAGTCGGATGTTAGTTAGCATAGTAAAATTTGGCTCTATTTAGGATTTTTCACTTTTTTTTGCTGTTTTCATGGTTACTCAAAATCCTGAGATTTTATTGGTTTCAGACCAAAATTGTAGGGTCGGAGGTCGATTTTCGCTTGTATCCCCATCACAAAAACACCAACATCGCCAATAATTGAGGGGATTTCCCATCCACTTAGAATTTCCTCAGGATCGCTACCAAAATACTAATAAAATTTTTTGATCACGTGAAATTATCTAATAACAAATCACGCGTAACATGATCATCAAAAGATCAACCGTTTTCTCTTTACTCAAAATTTTGCTTAAGAAACCACTTTTTATGCTCTAACAAAAAAAATTCCTTGGATAGTTTTACAATATGCTAGACTTTTCTAACCCTAAATCTAACCCTAATCCTAATATAAACGAACTCTAAAGAATTTTGTTGAAATCACGTGATTGAAAATTTTGGTGACGATGCTGGGGAAGATTCCAAACTTAGTTTTTATCAGATCTAATTATACGATTTACTGTTTTTCTATCTATACAGTAAACTCTAGATATAACAAAATTTTTATAATCAACTTTTTCAACGAACTTCTTATAACGAACTTTTTCATTGAAATTTCTTATAACTTTTTTAATAGACATTTTTTATTTCGAACTTTTTCAACTATTTCAACAAACTTTAACTTTTTCAACGAAATTTCTTATAACGAATTTTTCAACGAATTATTTTTATAATGAACTTTTTCAGTGAACTATTTTTATACCAAACTTTTTCAACAAATTATTTTTATACCGAACTTTTTCAACAAACTTTTTTATGAGTTTTTATAACTTTCTTAGAACAAATTTTTTAAAGCAATTTATTATAGAATTTGGTGTAGAAACAGTAAATTACTATATACGGAACTTTTAAAAATTTTTATTATAACAGTTAGTTCACTGTAAAGAGAGTCGACTATATTTCTATTCATATTTGTACAGCAAAAACAATGACATTGAACTAAAAATAAATTTAAGAAAACACACGATATAAGTATAACTTTTTCTAGAAGTGAATATTTTTACTGGTCTTTGTTTTGCAAAAATTTAACACATGGTTTACTATTACTTAATTGGCATTGTTGATTGGTATTAAATTTTATGTTTCCTGCTTTAGAATTTATTTATTGTTTGATATTCCTTTTATCCATTACCTACACTTTGAAAATGTTTGCGATATTCGAAATTCATATAATATTTTACTGTTTGCTATAATTTGGCAGTCAAATTTGTTTTTTTTCAATATTTGTCAACAAGAACCATTTCTATTTAAAAATAAAAATAAAAAATATTGTAAACCAAATTCTCCCCAAAACAGCGAAAAACTTAAAAAATTTGAAAACTTGCCGGAGGGTCTTAGGTCGAAAAATCATGTGACTGCCTCCTCGATTATTAGTTATGCTGATGCTTTCCCCGTCAGAACATTGATTGAAAATTTCGAACATCGAACATCAGTCATATTACAATTTATCTATAAGTTTTGATAGTAATAAGTTTTTGATTTATTAATAAATAACTCATTAAAATTTATCTATAAGTTTTGATAGTAATAAGTTTTTGATTTATTAATAACAATTTCATAAATTTATTTAATAAATTTTTTCAAATTGACATTGTTAAACAACTCAATTGGACCCAAGATGCAAAAGATTACATGTTTTATCGACTGATGAGCGAAATCAAATTGAAGAAACTTTACGTGCTATGTATGCAGAATTTAAAGAGTGGCACTATTTATCTAAACAAGTTACTTCATCAACATCCAAATTAGTTTCTGTAACCAATCGAAATGAAAAGCAAACATACTGTAAAGGGTTCATTAAATCTGTTTTTTTCATCAAGCTTACAAACCAAGATAATAACGAAGTTACAAATTATCTTACTCTTCCTGAGCTTGATTTCGAGGGAGAATCCATGGTGTGATGGTCTTTACAAAAACGACAATTTCCGATTTTAAGTGAAATGACCCGAAAATTTCTTGAAATTCCTGCACACCAAGTGAGCGCTTGTTTTCAGATGCAGAAAATGTTATGAGTGCGAAAAGAACGTTATTAAAGCCAAAGGTATTTGGCAGGATTGATTTTACTATTCATGATGTCTATAAGTCATGTAAATGCATATTAAATAATGTAGCGGTAATAGTACAGGTTGCTTTTATAATGCGCAAATTATAAGTCATGTAAATTGTATGTAGCGATAATAGTACATCTTGTTTTTGTAATGTCGCAAATTATAAGTCATGTAAATTGTAATTAAGTAATGT